TTAGATATACAAGGTCATGGTACGATCATTAAAGTGCATTCGGAGGGTTGAAAGCGGTATCTTTGATTAATGTATTTGTCGATATAATCACGTCGATAGCCACGGATACCAGAAAATGTGACGGAGACAGTTGTGCCAGGAGGGACACCACGTAACACGAGCATGACTTTCTCGTTCTTTCTTTTTCCCTCCCTCTCTCTCTCTCTCTCCCCTTCTCTCTCCGTGAATTTCGCGATAACACCGCGTACGGTTCGATACCAGGCGTCGCGACGCCCGGCAGTCTGCCACCGTCCCGTTCTATCTCGTTTCGTCCGACGTCATCCTCGGAACACTTACGCGTTTTCTGCCCGTTGACAATACGAAATCTCACGTGTGCGTCCATGTACGAGCATACAGCGAGTCGCATAGGCATCGCAAACACCAGCCACGGTCTTTCAACCAAATTGCAGATAACGATTTTTAGTAACACGATGTTGCTAAAAAAGATCGTGACGTGAAATCCGAATGAAGTTAAAGAGCGATTAAAATTGAACTTGTAAGATTTAAAGAGCGATTACAATGGTACGGTTGCGACAGTTTATTTGCAGAGCCAAACCACAAAAATTTATTCGCCGCAAGCAGGCAAATACAAATGAATTTTCGCGGATTGGGAAATAAGTAGATGACACGCGATTTGAAATCGGGCTCTATCAATCGCTACTATATTAGATCCCCATTAAAAGACAGCAAGAAATTCGAGATGCGACGAGGACGGCGCCTATGAATGAAAGTCAGTATATAGTTAGGCATACGCTGGCAGAGAGAGGCGAACACTTTGGATGGAGAGACCGAGTCTGCGAAGCCATTCATTTGTCGGACGATTTAGCCCGTTTAGTGTCGCCAAAGTCCTGTGATCTGGGATAACGTGATGTCGTGAGGAGGGACGTGAGGAGGGACGTGTGTCCCTCCTCTCTTTCTCGCTCATTTCGTCTATTTCCCTCAGGAAGACGGGAGGACGAAGAGGAGGGAGGAAGGAGACTAAATAGCTGGCTCCTGAGGATTCCCCTTGTGCGTGCATCGCATAATCAGGAGAAACCGATACGGCTATTGATGCATTTAAACTCAAAATTAATTAGCGCCCGAGCATCGCGGTGTATGTAATCGCTGTTAATTGGAATAATCGGCTATAAGCTACGAAGCGAAGCCCGCATTAAATCCTCGATACGCGATATGCCGGTTGCTTCGTGATTAATTATGTCGTTTGCATCGATACGGATATCCCGCTTATACTTATGACAAGTACAAGCTATTGTCTCCCTTGATGCGACACGAAAAAGAGAAAATCTTTGGCAGCTGTGCGGAAATTTTTTTGGAATGTAATTGGAATCTAGTCCAATTCTACGCAGGTTCAAGATAGGATTCTAACTTAAATTGCATATTTACGTGAGAATAAACTTCTAGCATAAAATAAAAATAAAAACCAGGAAGAATAGCGGAAAGACTTGGGTTTCTTACCTAGAATTGTGTTTAAGGTATTATATTGGCGTAGACTTCAGCAAATTAGATTACATCCCAATTAGATCTCAAGAAATGTTCCATGTGGGACACGTATGGCAAGTGCATACAGAGGAGATCGAGGCGAGTTGACACATTTTTCGTAATTGCGATGTTCGAATATTTCAGAAAATTAATTCTAATTATCGTAAGGGCACGGATATCGGAGATTCCTCCAGAATTCATTAGTTTTATTATTAATACTATCACAAGTCTATTACTTTTTCATCTTCGTTCTTCCCGATAGATTTCTTTTTATTTGAACATAATAACATGCTTCATCGATTAATAGATCCTACATCGAAATTTTTCAGGATTTTTCTAGATCCCTTTTAGAATTTTCAAATTTGTTTAAAAATTAATTATTCGATTACAACGCTAATTGAAAATCCTATTTTTATCCTAAAAACGTAGGTTTTCTGTCTAAAAAATCGAAACAGAAATATTTTTTATAGTATTAAATAAGGAATTCCATTTTGATACGCGAGCTATTAAAATTATTAAAATTATTTGTTCATCAAAGTAAATATTTCACAATGAAATAAATTAAAAAATAGCAAATACTGTTGATGATTACATACATTCTATAAGCTCTTCTAAAAATATTGACTCACTGGTATGTTAATATCGATAAAATTATAAATGAATCGACATTGTTAAGCAAGTCATAAAAATGCTCATATCATATTTATCAAAATGTTTATTACGTTGAAATTAATATATCGTAATTTATTATCACATTTCATTAATAACATATATTATGATTATTATAATTTTAATATTATTATATATATTAAATTTATATATATTAAAGTATGAAACAAATATTATTATACTTCTGAATATGTGAAAATTTTATTCAAAGCCACATGTTAAAAAACATGGAAAATGTAATTTCAAATGAAAAAAATATCTCGGAGGCCTTCATTACTGCGTTCGCCAATTAAAATATATATAATAGTAACATGGATATTTTTATTCCGGTCAAAGACTTTGGTGTGGAAATGCCAATGGAATTAATGATACAACTTTGAATAATCGTAAAATGTCAGAAAAATTTGTACGTTTAAAATATACAAATTGTCCTTAGACACAGGTTTTATTATGTATAAAATTAATTTTTTTTTTATTTAACCAATTGAATGTATGAGAAATTGCTTGTATCGGTTTATCAATATGTATAACAATCTTACAAAAAGTATGTGTATGTCCACGCGATGTTAAGAAAAATATTCTAGAGAAATCCAGTTTTACAATTTATAATCATAAAAAGAAATATGTGAACAGAATAGCTTTTAAATTAACTGACATTTATAAAAAAAAAGAGATACATTCAATATCACACTGAAATATTTACCGTACAAAAACACGAAATATTATTTTCGTGTTTTTACATATTTTTTTAGATTAATACGTATACATTGTTGAGAGTGAATTTATCAGTAAAAAATTTTTCATATAGCATTAGGAATTTTTTAATGCTAAAGATTGGGATGATTATCGAACTAGGAGGCATTTATGTTGAAAAATATCTTATTCATAACATAAATATGAAATAGAAGTCGAAAAGAAGGAAGCTTTGGTAGAACGCTCGGCAGAGAGAATGGAATCTATTCGAGTTTCCCATTTAGAATCGCATTTTTGAAACATTACACTCTTTTGATCCGAATAGAACTCATTATTTTTCTCCGGGAAACCGGAACACATACACACACACACACACACACACACTCAATTCAATCAGATCCCAGAAATTTTTCTATGCGGGTACATCGGCGTGCGACGTGCCGGTGTGTTTATACTTCGCAGGTTGACCTCTCCGGCGCTCTCGGAGTGGTGAACATGTGCGCAAATAAACTCTGAGAACGTGAAAATGATCGACATGAATCCGCTCGACGGTGTTTTCTCGGCGCGGGCTAAAAATATCAATTTAGATTTCGGTGACTGCATCCAAGCGAGTCGCCGCTGGACACGCGCCTTTCCATTGGCGAACGACTCTGCCGGCACTGTTTACATGCTGATTTATTCATTGACTCACTTTTGCACTCGCGTTCGCCACCCCGTCCGTCAGCCCTCCTCGATATTATCACGCGGAGAATCCAATCGATCGGCAGTGCTCGCGCCGCCGATCGCCATCGCACGATGTCGCGTCGCTTCCTTTATTCATTCGCTTTCATTATCCAGCAGGGACGCGGCTCTTTAATTTTTCAGCTGTTGGAAGTGATTTATAATCGGACCGCCTTCAACATGCGCGCGATTGGAATACCGCGTCTTCTCATTGCCATTAATGTCCGATCGATCGTGCGAAATTTTATCTGCTCGCTTCGAGCGCTCGTCGTTACCTCGCAAGTTCAAACGAATGAATTACGTAAAGAACTCAATTACAGAGATAATATAATACGTCGCGTTGCTTCTACTCGCCCATCGATCTTCCGCTTCGACGGTCGACCAATCGGGGACGCGGCGCACGTTAAAAGGGAAACCGGCTTTTCGCGTCTCACGTAACCGAATGTCAAGAGTTGTCGCTCGTTGCGAAAGCGTAGCCAGCCAATTCCGTTGAGGGGATGTCCGCAGAGAGGAAGAGAGAAAAGAGAGGAAAACGAAAGAACGGGAGAGGTCGAGTGACACTGAGAGCGAAGTGAGAGAGAGAGAGAGAGAGAGAGAGAGAGAGAAAGAAAAAGAGTGAATGAGAGGGGTGGAGAGCTTTTCTCCGCGGACTTCAATCATTATAACGTGAAATCGGCGCGCGACAGAGGCAGAATGGATTTCACGTAGAAGCGTACACAGACGCTGGGCGATGCGATAGATAAAACAAGCTGTTTACGAGGCGCACAGCCGCTTTCGCGGAAGGGGTTGAAGGCTTCATGGAACAGGGAAAAGCGCGGGACGCCGATAACGAGCGTCGAGTTGTGAAGAGTCGATCAATACAGCGCCGTTTCGAGAAGTCCACGTCGCTCGCGATCGTTTTCCTCCTCCGCATCCCCTTTCGCACGTGGTCTTCGTCGTCCTCGTGTGTCGCGGTTCTTTTGATCCAGGCCGACGAGGGATTTTATCCCCTTCGGCTTCGCTTATTTGTGGGTCAACCCGCCGGAAGATCTTTCCTTACCGACGGGTGTAATCGGAGGTGAAATCGAATCGGCGGAGGAAATGTGGAGCGCCGTAATTGTTCGGCGAACGAAACAAATCCCGAGTCCCGGTTATTGTGCAGAGACAAGTCTCGTGCATTGGACCGGAAGAATATGGAATTGTTTGATCGACACAGCGTGAACGCGCATATTCTCGAGACCCGGCTGGCATTGCTAGCCTCAACACACAGTTGGTCGTCTTATTGAAAGCTTAGCGATTTGCTTTCTCTTTTTTAATAATTTCCGGACGTCTGAGAATATCATCAATGATATATATGCTGCTTTCACTATTGTTTTTCAAAATTACTTTTGAGATATTGACGCGCGACTGCGACTGTGGAAATGTGTGGATGTAATTTTCGGTTGAACGATCAAGCAAAATTATTCGATTGTGTTTCAGTTTCTGGTACGACGAGTAAGGAAGAGGAAGAGACGGCGGTGATTCCGGTCACAGAGGATGGCGCCGTGCTTCTGGGCGCAAGAATCAGGACAGAAAGCGATCCTGGAGGAAGTATAGATCTACTGGCAGCCCTGCAGTTGCACAATACTACTCGGCAGGGCGTCTCGCAGGTGCCGGGTCTGGTTAGGTTGAAACCAGCCTATTATCTTCAGGGTGAGTCAACTTTGTCCGGCATTTTCGGCTCGCTCGTTTCTCGTCCGAGACATTATCGAGACCTTTAATAACGCCAACTAGCTAAGAATAAGTACGAAAAAAGAATTCTCTTAGGATATATGAAATAATGCCATCGGCTTTAACTTTAGAAAAGATAGCGTGAGTAATTCCTAATCATACCGAAAGCCTTAACTTTATCGATAACTTTTGGCACAATTAAGCGGTGAGTAATTTTCGCAAAGAAATAATGTGGTTTAATATTTCGCAAAGTGTGATGTTTAATATTTCAATCGGTAATAAAAAATTCATTCTAAATTTGAGCGTGCTGAATATCTTGGCAGCTCTTTTTTTATATGTTTCTCACCGTCGTAGAAAAATCACATAATTTAAATTAAAAATTATTAATATAAAAATTATTTATAAACTAAAAATATTAGAGAACGTGGTTTAAGACGGCAAGAAACGTATAGAAAAATCTTCATCCGAATTACACGCTTATGCGTATAAAAATAATACATTTGGATTTGCAGTATATTAAAAATGACAGTGCTGGGTATCAATCGATCGCAATTTTGGCCGACTAAAATAATCAAAATTAATATCGGGTAAATCATAATGATAACACGCAATAATGATCTCAACCGGTCACTTTGATCTAGTCGATTATACGCTGATTACTAATTAATTTCATCAATTGAATTATTCATAATTACATGCTCACTGATTAATTTTCATTACTGATTTGCTGATTATTTCAGTCAACTAAGATTTTAATCGATTAATGCAAACATTGTTGCCTAAAATTCATCACACGTATCGCGATGGTTATCGAGTATCGAGGAGGACGATACATCACACACGTAGCGACAGAAAACGAATTGAATTAAATGATAAATACACATTCGCAACATGCGTCTCTTATATTAACACGGACACGACAGGAAATGGAGTTCGTTATATGATTCACGCCTTTTGGAAGCGAGATACACATATATATGCTGCGCTATAAATCGCGCGGCTCGTGCACGAAGCTACCACTTCGATAATGCTCTCTTAACCTGGATACTCCCTTAATTTGCATACCGCTGGGTCATTCTTTGCGCGAGCTATCCTATCCCCGTTCCTCGTGCAGCGTGAGCTGCAATTATTACCTTCCGTAAAGACGATGATTATGTTTCATGAGTTACAGCGCACGAAACTTACACGGCGCTAACGCGGATATTCGTTCTTGGAGAGTTAAATCGGGACACAGGAGATAAAGAAAAAGAAATAGAGCGGAGAGAGAGAGAGAGAGGAAGAGAGAGAGAGAGAGAGAGAGAGAGAGAGAGAGAGAGAAATTTCTCGAATAAATCGTCTTGAGGTGAAAATTCTCGTTGAGGAAGTTTACGGTTTAATCGATGTAATTTCACACGGAGAAAAAGAATCATGGCTGAATTAACGCGATAATAAATGAACTAAACGCGTTTTTTTCCTTGGGAGGGAAATGGAGTTCCAGTATCGGTTGAAATTTGTGATTAAAATAATCAAAAGGTCAACATTGAGCAAATTGCATGTAATGATCGTCACCGTCGATTATTCTGATTTGATTGATTGTGTGCTGATTAATAATTAACTTTATTGATTGACAAAATTATCCATAATTACACATGTGACGATTAACTTTAACAATTGACTTGCTGATTGTTTTAGTCGGCGAAATTTTAACCAATTAATATGCAAGATTGGGAAAGTTACTTCGTAAAGTTACAGTTTTTTCACTGAAAAAGTAACTTTAATAAAAATAAGTTATAGTTACAAATTACTGACCTTCAAAAATAACATGTTACAGTTATAGTTATTTAGAAAATAACGAGTTGTTACTTTTCAGTTACTTTTTACAATAATTGTGCTATTAATTTAAATTTCCTAATTGTGTAAATTCCTTCAATTTTATGTATAAAAGTGGTTTGTTGATTATTATATATTCTGCATATTGTATATAATTTTAACAAATTAGATTCATTAATTTAGATAAGCAATTCATATTTATTCCTTAAGACTATTAATAACAACTGGGAACAGAAATACCTAGTTGTTCTCGTTTCTAAATTTTTGTTGTAACTCGAATATTTCTGCATATGACGGTCGTGGCATTTTACAATCCTTCTCCGAAGATTGTGATGTTTTATATATTGTTCGAATTTTTTATATAACTGAAACCATGCAGCGTACTTCACGTTGAACGCAGGTTATGTTAACAAATAAGGACTGGCGACGCGCGACGGAAATGTTCAATAGGCGTACAATTTTTTTTGAAAGAAATACAAGTTGCGTTCGGAGAAGAGATTATCAGCGCTATTGCGTCATTTTATCCTTGTTTTACATCTAATGAACGATAAAGATAGATGATGCAATAGCGCATTTTCCGAATGCAGAATGCCGGAATAACTGTATGCTTATTGGATATCAAGCATCGCGTTATCGCGCTAGTCTGCTAGAAACTTGAGTTTGAAACATGTAAAGTAACTATTAAAGTAACTATTAAATCAGTTACTAAATCAGTTATCAAACAAATGTAACTAAGTTAAGTTACAGTTATAGATGGAAAAAACGGAACGAAGTTAAGTTTTAATTATCAAAAGGAATAACAGCAACTGTAACTTCGTTACAAGTGACGAGTTACTTCCCAATTCTAATACGCGACATGGTTCTCCGGTTCTGACACTCGTTCAGATATTTCGTTTCTTTCAGCGAAAACGCCTTTTGCCTGTTCATCGTCATGTTAACTCAAGCAATCTTGTCTCCCGTGTGGTACAACGTCGCAGCCGCGTGACGTCACGATATTTACGTATCAAACGATCAATTTAGCAGAATTTAATGCGCGTACGGCGGTGCACGTCGCGATAAAATTGGTTTCCCGAAGGACCACGTAGCCAGCTAAAATTACATTACCGGTGGCGTTTGACGAATACATGTGCCTCTCATTACAGCCGACGCCGGTTATGCAACGTGTGATTAATCGATATTGCGAAAGGTCAGTTCGATAGCACACCGCCTACGCGTCACCGTCTTTCTCGTCGTCGTCGTCGTCGTCGTCGTCGTCGTCGTCGTCGTCATCGTCGTCTCCGTTCGCAGACGTCGCCGAGGGTATTCCCCCGTGGCGAATATCGATTGTTCTCTCGAATTTCGTGAAGTGGCCCTTCTCTCCTTTCGTTAGGCCGCTCGCGCGACGCTTTTAACGGCCGATGGACACGACGACGCGACGCCCTGATATTGGTTTCATTGAAAATCAACCCCTCCCGTCCCCTTTGCCCGCCCCACTTCGGCCAGCCGGCCCCGGCGAAGGTGAGGCGACGCTTCGCATTATAACATGCTTATCGAATTTTACACTCCATTTCTGCACACGATGTCACGCACGCGCCTCCTGAAAATCGATCGCGCTCCAAAGAGTTAAACGATATTCCCGTTAAACGGCCGACTCGTCGCGCCGGCGAGCGCGTGGCGTCTATTCAACCCCGTTCAACATGGTGTATCCAATTATACCGGGGGCACCCCCGCGTTCCCCTCGAGACGGCGACTGGTGTACGAGCCACGTGGGTGGGTGCGTGTATATATGTATTGTGTAGGCGGCGGTGCAACGGCCGCGAGCGGAAAGCGGGCTTGGAAGGCGGTAGGAGGAGGTGGAGGAGGTGGAGGAGGAAGAGGAGGGGAGAGGGTGAGTGCGTGAAGGGACAAGGAAACGGGGGGATAAATTAGAAGTCGGGGGAATGAAGTTTCCCCGAAAGAAATTTCAATTACACCGACGCCCTTCTTCCTCGGGCTGCATTCTCGAGGGCGCTCTTTCGTGGGAGCTTTCGAAGGTGAAGGCTCTTCCTGTCATGTGCTCTCGCAACATCGGGAACGTCGGGGGTGCCTCCCTTTTTTTCCGCTCCTCTTCTCATCGTGGATCCTTGACGCTCTTGCTCCTGACGCTCCTCCAACCTCCCCCTCCCCCTCTTTCCCTCTCTTTCTCGTGCGCGCACGCGCGCGTGAGTTTCCCTCGTATTAAAAGAGAAAGGGTGAGAGCGGAGGGAGGGGGGAGGGGAAGGAGTGACAGATGTAGTAATCGTAATACAGTTTCTTCTCCGTGCCTACGCAAATGTTTGCTTTAATTTTGTCGAGTTCTCGCCGGTTGACTTGGAAGACAGCGCGCGTGAATGGCGAGTGTTTACAAGTCGCGGTCGGAGCGTGCGGGGTGCTGTAACCCCTACGGCTAATGAACGCGTTGAGATTGATACGGAAGATTGGACGGCAGATTCGAAAGCCAAAAGGGCGGGATTCTGGGGTCCGGGTAATTTTCTACGCGTCTACCGATTTAATAGCCGTGGCAAACGAGCGCCTCAATCGCAACTCGGAGAGTGCTCCTATACCGTTGTATCCTCGTCGGGAAACAAATCAGTTTCTTCTTTTTAACTCTCTGGTGGGCGTGTGGCCTACGGCTATAGATCAGCACTCACTCTGCGACGTTGCCATTTTTGTCCAAGTGAGATTTAATCCCTCCTCTCTTCAATATTCTCTTTCTAACGAGGAAAGGGCGGATCAGTCAATGCCGCATCCTGCGATCAATCTCGCGGGCCTGCTTTATACAGCCGTTTTGAAAGTACATGGAAACAAATCTCGGTTTTTCGTGTGTCGGAATATGGGGACCAGATGGAAACTTGACGACGAAATATATTTCTGTTATCATAACTGAAAACATTCGTCTGAATAATAAATAGTATTAACCCTCCGTTAGATATAGCTTCACATTTCAAATGTCCGATATTTTCGCGGTATTTACTAGAAGTATGCAAAAGTTTTCATCGTTCACGTATAGATGGCATCGTCAATTATTTACATGAAAAAGTTGCGACGTATTTTTGTTAGATTGTGTCAGTATTAGTTAATCTACATATGGAATCTACATGATGTCATATTCATAAATAAGTCATATTCATTGACATAACCATTTTAATTAATTTGTATGAAGATGGAAGTCGATA